CCCAGTTTGTGTGTCCAGTCTTCCGCTGGTGGACATGCGGGTCGTTCCCTCTTGCGGTTGTGAAGGGTGCTACGGTGGGGGTGCGTGTATCTGTGGCGCTCTGGTTTTTATTTCTGAAGGGTATGTGCCACGGCACACCACTGCTGAGCCCCATGGTGGCGCTATTCCCCGCTGTTGGAGGCAGCACCACACTGCTCTCCATAGTGGTCGGCCAGTTCTCCAGTCCTGCCGGCAACGGATGAGGGTTCCGATCTCTCTGCACCTCCTGGCGCCTTTGTTCTTTTCTGCTTGTGTAAACTTTGCTGTCCGTCCTGGGGCCAAGTATCTCATGGAGGTACCAAGCTCGTTGTTAAGCTGCATCCCACCGTCTTAAGCATCGGCGGCTGGAGTGACTTGTTAATGCCATCAAGTCGGTTCCAACCTATAGCGATCTCATGCACAGCAGAACGAAACCCTGCCCGCCCCTGCCATCCTCACAAGGGTTCCCGTGCCCAAGCCCATGTGGCAGCCACGGTGTCAGTCGAGGGCCTGCCTCTCTCACCGCCTCTCTGCTCGACGCCCTTCTCCCGGGACTCGTCTCTTCTGACAAGTCCAGAGTATGTAAGACTCGGTCTCACCCTCCCTGCCCCCAAGGAGCACTCTGGCCATACTTGTTCCAAGAGAGCTTGGTTTGTCCATGGCCGTCCATGGCACTTTAAAGATTCTTGGCCAGCACCACCATTCAAGTGTATCGATTCTTCTTCGGTCTTTCTTATTCAATGTCCGATTTTCACATGCATGCGAGGCGATTGGAAATACCATGGCTTGAGACAGGTGCGACGTAGTGACTTAGCTGTTGAGAAGAATCTTAACAGAAACCAACAACACTGCCTGTGAGTCTCATGACGGGAGATCCACCTGCTGCAGTATCATTCGTCATTTCTAGTGGGCAGGATTGTCCTCGTCCTTTTACTCATGAAAACACTGAAGACGCCTGGGAGTCAGATGGTCAATGTCAGAACCACAACTTGGGTCTTCTGACACGTTCTTGGTTCCGAGCCAAGAGTCCCTGCCCCTCAACCCTCAAGAGAATTCTCCATGTCATACTTTTAGCTCCAAGTCCTGACGTGCTCTGGATTCTTGCTTCCTACTCTGGGCTGCTTTTCCACAGCCCCTGAAAGCCAGCCAGCCAGGTCTGTCTTTATCGCCAGTCCAAAAAACGGCACCTGGTTTCCATCTTTGTAGACGTAGATGGGTTTATGACAAAGCGGATGGCTCTGCTGTCGGAAGCATCCGGGAGGGAGTTCCCATCAGCCAAGGCCACAGGGACACCTGATGGCTGGTCTGGGGCAGAGCGGGAGCAGCCTGACGCTGCTGTGCCCAGTTAGTTTCAGAGGCCTGTTTCTCTAGCTAAGGCGCGGGTCTCTACCTTTTCAGAACTCCATTCGTCACAACCTTTCCCTCCACAAGATGTTTGTCCGCGAGACATCTGCCAATGGCAAGGTGTCCTTTTGGACCATTCACCCCAGTGCCAACCGCTACTTGACGCTGGACCAGGTGTTTAAGGTGAGTGTCCCGGTTTCTCCTAAGTAGGGCCAGAATTGGAGTTTAAAGTATCCATCTCCAAAGCGCATCCGAGCCCGGGCGTCGGTGATTTGCATAAAGCTTGCTGAACAAGGGCGGATGACCAGTATAAATGACACGCTGTGCTAGACCAGGGCCCCAGGATTTCCCAGGGCAGTGTCTCCCTCACTTCCCTGTGATGAACACTGGCCTGGAGGCTTTTACTGAAATGCAGCTTCCCGGTCCCCTCCCTCGAGGTCGTAGTTCCTGGCGTTTGCGATGGGCTCAGGGACTTTGGATGTTTGAAGGATCTCAAGCAATTCTTGCAGGACATTGGGAAGCTCCTCTCCAAAGAAAACACAGACCCTCTTAGGCTGTGTTAGAGCAGAAGAGGTAGAGCCGCCAGAACAGCTTTTCAGAAAGACCCTGTCTTCGGGGGCATCTCAAAGTGCTTGTGAGGCTGACAGCCCTTCTCTTGGGAGGGACAGTTGACCAAGAGGCCCCTCGGCTTCCATCATGGACATGTGTTCTTCCTCGTCTGGTCAGACTGATCTTGTCAGTGGTAACTTCCATCTCGTTTCTCTCCCACAATGCCTGGCCGCCACCAGCCACTGGACCCAGGGTCTCCACAGTCGCCCGAGGACTCAGAATCAGTAAGATTCTTTCCCTCTGGCTCGGGGCTTGGACTTGTTTTCTCCTCACTGCTCAGCTTGGCTTCAGTGGACAGGGACCCAGTCGGTCGGTTGGTGCTCAGCAGGGGTAGGGGGCCTGGAGTCAGGTGACTATGCTCTAAACACAAAGGACCCTGAGGCTTCTGGGAGGGAGGTGGGGCTGCGGGGGCACCCTTGTGACCACTGCCTCACCTCACCGGAAGTAGGGCTCGTGCCTGCTTCCCCTCCCACAGGCCTTGTCCAGCTGTATGGAGGAGAGCACAGCCTAACGAGAGCGTGCCACCGGCTCAGTGTGGTGCCAGCAGTGCCAGGTGCATGGCAGAGCTCGCAGGCTGCCTCCCCCTCACTGTCTCCCCGGCTTGCCTCGGCCCCTCCTACAGCTCCACGTGTTAGCGTCCCCTGGGGGTGCCGAGGACACCTGGATAAGGTGGAAGGGCCACCCTGCCATCGTCTGTCCACCTGCTGCCCACCTGTCCCCACGAACCACAGCTCTGGAGACGGTGCCCACCTCCGCCCGGGCCCTTGCTAGCCCGTCGATTAGTTCTATGCACTACCCGAGCGGCTGGTGGGGTTCCCCTGCCCACCTCCCTAGCCTTATTAACTCAGGTCTCTTTCTCTCCCCGTCTGCCACAAGCAGCAGCAGAAACGGTCCCACCCTGAGCTCCACCGGAACGTGACCATCAAAACGGAACTCCCACTGGGTGCACGTTAGTATGGGAGAGCGGGCCTCAGGCCTTGGCCTGGTTCTGGGGCGTGCCTCTAGGGAATCCGACTCCAGGATTCCATTCCCACTTCAGGGGGTAGGAGCCCAGCAAGGAGAGCAAAGCCCCTGGGATTACGAAGGGCTGTGCTCCTGGTCCCCACTCCTGACCCCTCCAATTCCTTCCTTAGGCCGGAAGATGAAGCCACTGCTCCCACGGGTGAGCTCCTACCTGGTGCCCATCCAGTTCCCAGTGAACCCGTCCCTGGTGTTGCAGCCCTCGGTGAAAGTGCCCCTGCCCCTGGCGGCCTCGCTCATGAGCTCGGAGCTCGCGCGCCACAGCAAGCGAGTCCCCATCACCCCCAAGGTGAGCGGCTTTTGTTGTTCTCCAAGGTAACTTGTGTTCACAGATCACTCTGCCAAGCGTCCCCTGGGTAGACAAGGCATACGTGCACACGGGCCTTTCACGGTGGTGCCGTTGTCACGGTGACCCCGGGTGCGGAGCAGAAGGGCACCATCGGGGTGTCAAGGCTTCGTCCTCTCCGGAGCAGATCTCCAGGCCCGTTGTCCGAGGTGGGTCTGAACTGGCCGCCTTTTCAATGAGTTGTCAGTCCAGCACCGACCATGGACTCCCAGGGAAGCGGTGTCCGGGGCTCATACATACCTGATGCGTCTGTGGGAACTCGGGCGAGGGTGACGGTGAGGGGAGTTGACAAAGGAAGCGGGTCTTCCAGAGAAGTCGGTGTGAAGCCAGCAGCTACTTGGCGGTGTCATGGAGGCGGGGAAGGCCGGTCTGTTCCTAGTAGAAAAATGAGCTGGGTCAGTCTAGTGCGGGGCTCCACAACCTCAGGACTCAGACTCCCTTTGGGGCTGGACCTTTCTGTACTGGTGGGGGTGTTGGGGCGGAAACGGCCGTCGTCCTATGCACTGATCAGGCATGACAAAGTGGCTCAGGGTAACTCCCCCGCTGGCTGAGCATGACCGATCTGCCTTAAGAAAAGCCGAGGCAGGTTTCAGACCCGGCTGCGATGGGTCAACAGGCCTGGCCTTTACCCCTGGGAGGTTTTGCGAGCGGGGGCTGACAGGAAAACAAAGTCCAGGAAAACCCATCGTCACCCATTACGACTCACAGGGGCACCATGGAGGGTTTGTAAGGCTGTATCTCTTTGGGAGAGCAGCCAGCCTCATCTTTTTTAAATGATGTGTGAGATTATGCATGCTGTGTACAATTAAGGCATTCGGGTGATTGTAGCGCACATACTGTTTAGTGTCGATGCCGTCTTTCCCAGCCTCCTCTTTCTTACTTCATTTTACACCACACACACACACACACACACACCCCGCACCTTCACACTGTTCCCAAAGAAAACCCATGCCCCCATTTACGACGCTTTTGTCCATAGTTTATCCGTGCTTTTCACATATAGACATACGGGATAGCCACTCTGTGTGTACACCTATGAGACAGGACACTCTTTGGGCATCTGCCCTTTTCTGACGCCACACCACCTCATGCCCTGGGCAGGGCAGCACACCCTGACCGAGGCAAAGGAAGACGCGTTACGTACACAGGCTTGCAGTAAGAGTGGCGAGCAATCATCTGTGAGTGGCTACCTACACTGAGGTGGATATACAAGCAGAACAGGTGTTGGGAGGCAAGTGCGATGCCACCCAAGAGTAGGTTTGACAGAGGGTATTTCTACATATGTGTTTGTAGGTACTGCAAATATGCCCACGTATACAGTAGCACATTCAGGGAAGAGCGTTCTGCAGACTTCTCAGCCATAATCAAACCCCTTGAGGGACTAAGTGCTGGGCCGGGAAGCTTAGGACCGAAGCCTCGGGAACATCTAATTCAGTGGACACAACACAGTCCAGAAGGACAATGTTCTGCATCCTCCTTCAGTGAGTAGAACTGGCGTCGTAAAAGCTCACGACCAACTGTCTAAGATGCACCTAGTGGTCTCCCTTTGTCTGGCGCAACGAAGAGTAAAGGAAACAATTGGTCCAAAAGGCGAATGGACTGCACAAACCACACCCTCTACCACCCTGAGACCAGAAGAACTAGATGGTGCCCACCACCACTATTGGTCTCTCTGATCAGGAACGCAGTAGAGGCCCTAGACAGAGTGGGAGGAGAATGAAGAACAAAGTTCAAAATCACGAAGAAGAGCAGATCCACTGGTCTGCAAATCTGGAACGGAGCTCAGCCCTGAAGATCACCTTTCATCTAGACTTGAGCAGAGAGGTCAAGTGAACGGAGGGCTCGTAAGGAACACACACCTCAGAACAATCAGCCGTGCGAGACCCACAAAAGCAGCCTTTGCCCCAGAAGAAAGCTCAGGAGGCCGGAATGGGCAAGAACGAGAGGAAAGGAAAGAGGACCGAGGGAGGAAGTAGGATGAGTGGCAAGTCAACTGTGAAACAAAACCCCTAAGGTTGGTGGATGGAAAACGAATTTGTTCTGTAAACTTTCACCTAAACACAAAAATGATCAAAAACAAACAAACCATTCTTTGTAAGTCCCTGGCATAACTCTAATTCATTGCTTCTTAATGGCTACATAATATTCCACAGTGTGGTTCTAACACATTTTTCCCCCAACCATTCCACTTTTATGGGCACATTTTGTGTCTAATTTCTTGCTCTAGGAACAACATTGCAATAAATGTCTCTCTTACTAGGGCTGTTATTGCTATGGGATAGAATCCCAGAATTGAGACTGCTGAGTAACAAAACATTTTAAATTTTATTAAACGTTGCTAGATTACTGTCTTAAAAAAAAAAATTCAGATACCTCAGATACCCATCCACCATGAATGACAAGGCCTATATCTCTGCCAGCAATTGGTATTAATCTCCCTTTTAAATATTTTCCAGTCTGGTGAGTAGAAATGACTTCTCCATATTTAATTATGACCTTTCTTTGCTTGGGCATCTTCTCAAAAGTTTGGCCACTTGAAATTGTCCTCTGTGAACTCTTTCTTTTCAGATGTCTATTTTTCTCTCGCCGCTATCTTATTAATTTGTGGTGATTCTGTATATTATAGTTCGTCATTCACCCACAGGGTATCTTTGTACTTTTACCGTGTGTTTCCTAACTTCACTGTTGGTATCTCTTGTCACAGTTTTTAAAGTAATCCCTCTCCCATTGTCAAATATGTCTCACATCTCATTTCCAGACTCAGTCATCCCACCCTCAGATTGTGCATGTAGTCCCCTAGATTCGCTTGCAAGATTTGGATGGTTTTCATTTTTAAGTTTAAGTCCCCGTAGATGGCATCAGATCCCACCGCCACACGAGTCTGGCTCCTCGCAGCCCTACAGGACGGAGGAGTCCGGCCTCTGGGTGTCAGAGGCGGTCCTCTTTATGGGAGCAGAAAGCCTCACCTTTCTCCCAGGGAGGATCTGTTGACCGTGCAGTGTAACCCAGTATCCCACCCGGGGTCCTTGTGGTCTAAGATAGACTCCAAGTTTGATTTTCTCTCACAATTCTGCCAGCAGCATATGTAAAATGTATAGTTTTACCCCTGAAATGGAATGACCACCTTCATCCTATATTAAATTCTCATACTCTATCGTTTGGGGTTTTTTTTGGTTAAAGATAAAAAGAAGAGGCTTACTTAGTACCAGTATGTAGGTTACGGTAGCCTTGGTCTTGCGTTCTGCCTGGAGACAGTAGGCTCGCTCCCAGGACTCCCCTCACCTCTCCTCTGCTTCCCGGCAGGTCCTGCTCTCCGAGGAAGGGCTAGCCCCTGTCCCGTCTGCGGGACCAGTGAAAGAGGAAAAGCTCCTGCCTGGAGAGGAGCTGTCCCCTCTGCTTCCAGTGCAGTCCAACAAGGAGGAGGAAGGCCAGCCTGGGGAGAGAACGCCCTACGCAGCCAGATGCATCAAAGTGGAGAGCCCACCTTTGGAAGAGTGGCCCTCCACACCCTTCAAAGGGGAGTCGGAGGACTGGTCCCACTCTCCCACACCCAGGTCCAAGAGGCCCTACAGCGGGCTCAAGTCCCCAAGCCAGCGCGTCTCTGAGATGCTCATCATTAAACGGAGGAAGCGGAGGGAGCAGAGCCGGTCCCGCAGGAAACAGCACCTTCTGCCTCCCTGTCCTGACGAGCCGGAGCTGCTCTTCTCAGAAGGTCCCAGTGCTGCCCAGCCAGCCGCCCCCGAGCCGCCCTTCCTAGCAGACACCTCGGAGCAGGCCCCCCAGCCGGGCTACTCCCAGGAGGAAGGAGGACCCTTTAAGACGCCCATCAAGGAGGGGATGCCCATCTCCTCCACCCCAAGCAAAGCCATCCTCCCCATCACCCCGGGGTCCTGGAGGCTCGCACTGCCCATCAGAGAGGGCGGGCTGGAATTCAGCCCCGTGCAAGCCCCCCAGGGTGCCTTTGACCCCCTGCCTGACTCCCTGGGGCTGATGGATCTGAGCACCACTCCACTGAAAAGCCTTCCCCTCTTTGACTCACCCCAAGGGTTCCTGGCTTCGGAGCCCTTTGACCTCACCTCTGACCCCTTTAGCAGCTGTGCCCCCGCAGCTATGGAAATGTCCAAGCCAGGCCCCCCCGACCCACAGGTCCCCAACCTTTCAGCCAATCACTCTCTGACAGAAGGTCTGGTTCTGGACACCATGAATGATAGCCTCAGTAAGATCCTGCTGGACATCAGCTTTCCCGGCCTGGGCGACGACGAGGACCCGCTGGGCCCGGACATCAGCTGGACGCAGCTTATCTCCGAACTGCGATAGAGACCCGGCCTGGTCCTTGCCGCTTAGCCTCCCACTCTTCTGGAACACACAAGTGGCCGGGTGGTCCAGGCCCCTGTGCCCCTGCGCCCTGAGAGCAGCAGGCAGCGACGGTCTGTGCTCCTGAGCACCGCCCTCCTGGTGATGCCAAGGCAGCCTTGGCACCTCTGCCACCCCACCTCTCCAGACAGCAAGGCCCTGGGAACTTGTCTCTGTGCCACCTGCTGCCACTCCCCCAGCCCCAGGGGAACCCCGCTCCTCCCCCTACTGGGAGTGGAAGGCTGGGTGCAGCAAAGACAAGGGTGAGGAACTAGGAATTGCCTCGACTGCAGCCTTCCCACGGGGTGGCCCCGGTAAAGAATGTATCTGTCTTCTCGACGTTATCCTCTAATTACACATGTTAACCTCTCTCCTTAGATCGTTACCTGGGGGAGGCAGGGGGCTTCTGTTTGCTCCTGTCCCTTGCTTTTAGTTCCTAGAGGAGGGGGCACCTGCAGTGCAATGTTTCTCCCAGGCCGGAGGTGCCTCGCTCAAGGGTTCTTGACTGTAGGTACCTAGACCAGGACACGCTCACCCTGGCCCCTCTTCCAACCCCCTCCCCAGCCCCCCCTTGTTCCCATGGCGGCTTACCTGCTAGAAGGAGCCCTGGTCACAGTCTCTTTTGGGTCAAGAGTTGGCTTTGGGGTGGGGGTGAGCACATCAGAAACCAAGCATGAGGGCGCTCCCACTGTATGGTTCCTCAGCAGTGTCCCTAAGCGTGCCAGGGAGCCATCGTCATGGAGAACGGAGCTGGAGGCTGGAGTAGGCTGCAAGGGGCCCCTGACCTCCCTTAGCATCCCACCAGAAACGGGGTGGGAATGGCGTGACAGGGAAAGTCTGATGAAACCTCCGAGGCAACAGTGCAAAAGGTTGTAGACGAGTTTACCTGTGGCAGAAGCAACTGCAGGCTGTCCTGGTGTTCGTCCTGCCCGGTCAGCCCCCTTCCTCGCATGTCCAAGCCTGCTCCCTGGGACCTGCTGGATAACTTGGGGGTTCCCAAATAAGGGGAGGAGGACCACAGATAGATGCTTTTCCACCGCCCATCCCACCAACCCAAGGCCTGGAAGCCAGCTTACCCTACTTGCACCCACAAGCAGCTCCTCTCGCCATCGGTGGCAGTCTTAACCTGTGCTTGTCTCACCTGAAAGGCAGCGGAGGTGCCAAGGGACTGGAGGGCCCTCCCAGGGAGAGGTAAGGGCCTCCTCCCTGTGTCACCACTCAGGAGACATCGCCATAGCAACTCCAGCAGCAAACAATGGAGCCAGAAAGGCTTCCCCTAGGCAGCAGCCCCTCCTGCCTCTTGAGGCTCAGAAGAATGGCCACTAACCCACAAAGAGCTCCCAGAGGGCAGTGCGACCCATCCTGGGTCAGAGAACCTTTCCTGCAGGTAGGGGTGGGGCCAACCTAGCAGCTTGCAGCTGGGCACCCTGATGGACTAGGGGCTGCCCCCCTGTGGTAGGCCGTAGGAGCTCCTGGACAGTAGAGCTAGCCCATACACCACAGTCCTGCCCTGTGACCGGAGCTCCCAGAAGAGGGGAGCAGCGGCCTGGTTGTTACCGGAGCTCCCAGACCTACCAGGGCGGTCCTGTAGGAATAATTTAGGGAGCTGGGCACAAGAAACAGGTGGCTGTTTTGGACTCGGCAGAGCCCTGGGGGTAAAAAACAAGAAGAGGCATTTTTAAAAGAGACATTCCTGAGTTCTGGCACAGGGCACAGCCAAGCAGTGTGCCAAGCCCCCCGCCCTCCTGGCAGAGCTGCGGAGTACAAACACCCTCGGGGGGGCCCCCTCCCAGCTCCCTCTCCCTCGGCACACGGAGGGAGTTGCTCTCAGGGTTTGCTGTTTGCATTTTTTAAACGGCGACAATAACAAGACTTGGACACAGAATTGTGTAGATGAATGAGACAGGGTGTTTAGCACAGCGTCAATCCATACTCACTGTTCATTTAATGGGTGTGGGGGGG